GCAGTAATTGAATCGGTATTGAAGAGAGAAGAGGAACTGCATGTCCTAGTTACACCTCGTTTCTGAAGGAGATTCCAGGACCTAAAAGAAAGACTTCAAAAAAGCTGCTTTGTTTGTTATAGAGAAAAATCAGAAGCAGAAGGATCGCAAGAAGCTAGAAGGAACCCTAAGTGTGTCAACACGATGTCGACCAATGTGAGAAACCCATTTGCGTCAATTGTTATGCTAAAAACATAAAACCTGTTGATTTTCTCTTGTTGAAAAATAAAAAATTTGGTATAAAATAGTTAATTTTGCAACATTCATATAACATCAAATTTGCTCACGTAATTTGTAGATCTGTTACAATTGGAATATACATGTGATGCTGAAAAACAGCAAAAAAAAACCCAATTAATTGAATGAAAATAGCTCAATTAGCGCTGCAGCGAAGAATCGCCGCAGCGGTAGGTTCTTGAGTTTTCGCTGCAGCGATTATTCGCTGCAGAAGTTTGGAATGGGTTAGCGAATAATTTAACGAAAAACATTTAAACCTTGGTTGTTTTCTCTTCATTTACTGCTTTATCGTATTCATCATTGGTGACTTGGAAACTGGCTTGAGGTTCAGCTGTTATGCTCCAAAATGAACTTTGATTCAAGCATTAGGCACTCAAAAGTCACACTATTCCTCAACCTTCTCCATTTCGATCGACTTCCTCAAGATCATCAGGGATCTCATCAAATAATACTCTTTTCGATTCACTGTCTCTTGAAGTCATCACAAGCCTGGGTTTCTTCTTAAATCAGCAAAAGCTCGGGAATCAGGAAAATTTTTAACACCGAAACGCAATGTTCAGCTCAAGTTTTTTAATTACGCTTTTCTCAAGGTGAGATTGGTGAATAAATCCAGTGACTCAATGTAACCTTAACTTTAGCCAACTCACCCCTTTCTCATCACAATTGTGCGACAAATTTTCCGGAAGATCATAGAAAATCGTATCCTAAAAATTTCAACTTCATTTAAAAGCACAAATTCTACTTTTCTCTCCTCTTCGTCTTTTCGATAAACGGAGGCGTTCTGTCTCATCGTGGACCTCTGATAGGACTTTGCTAAAAGAGATTTTTCAATCTTTGTGAAGGCGTTCTAATCTAACAAAACTTTTAAAGGATTTATAAAGAAACTGTCCGATTTGATTTTTTTCTTAACTTACGTGAAGAATATCTGATCGGACTTGGAAAACGGGCATTTCTTGTGAAATCTCTGGGGATCTCTGGAGATCGAAACCTGGATGGTCTATCGGGTCGGACGGCTGAGCGAATCTGAATTTCCAATTGAAATCTTTCAAGATATTTGGATTTGAGGTACTAACTTTCTTAAGCTTGCAAGAAAAAGTGTTAGTCTTAATCTATGAGCAAGAGCTAAAGCTAAACCCTTTGTGGACAATCATCTTTTGTCGGAGAAGAGCTTCTTGTTTTGAATCGATTCCTCCTAAGTGGAATCAAATTCGCATTTTCTTTGTGGTGTCTCCAATCAGTGATCGGATCAATGAGGGTTTGTCAGAGAAGAGATCTAGCGGATCTGGTTGAAAGCTCGTTTAATTTATTTTGATCTGGTAAGTTTGGCAGAGATTTTAGGTTTATTCAACCCACCGCTTTCCTAAGCGATCTGGCTAAATTGAAAAAGATACAGCTGGGGTAAAAGTAGTATTTTTAAACGATAGCTTTCTGCTTTCCCCAGTAAAGATTTCAAACCTTGAGATTTGTCAAAATAGCGTACATTATCCCAGACGATTTCTTTGTCGAGCCAGGGTAGGGAGAAGCGTTTTGGGCTGGTGTCGAGCTTGTTCTGCCTAAAGTTTTATGTAATGGGAAAGTAACGGGCTAATTGTAAATGAAGGGAGAGTTTATTTTACAAGAGATTTACTTGTGCATCTAGAGATTTACCGTTTACAATTGAACTGAATTAAATCAATAAAGGGCTGAAAATCTCACTCACCCTCTTCTATTTGGTCTTTTCTTTGATCCTTGGGAACTCATGGTTCCACGAAATCGAGAATCAGTGAGAATCAAAAGAATAAAAAGTTTATGTCAATACCTGAAATTTAATTTTTAATAAGATCCGCTTCCAAAGCTTCTCAAACAGCCTTTTGATCCAATCAGCAATCCGATCAGCTTTTCAATCAGCTCTGGAAGGGCTTGTCGTATCGAAAAAGAAAATCAAAGAAAAGCGCTTTCGAAACAAAAGCCCACAGATGTCGAAAAATTGATTGGTGTAACGATTTACACACAAAAATCGAATAGAATCAAGAAAATTGACAAAAGAAAGGGGAAAAGTAAGAAATAATTCATCGTTGAACGAGACTAAAGAGGAGATTTTCATACATGTACAAAGAAAGGGCAATTTGCGCCAAATGCGAATCATTTCGAATAGATTGTAGTATTAGTATTCTTTGTATAAATATGAATATTTAGATCCATCTAAAGAAGCACGCGTTTTGCCCAAATTGTAAAAGCTCATTCACTTCTTGTGATGCATCCTAGACTTGCCGGTTCTCAGCTAAAAGCAATCAAAAAGTTCAATCAGAATTCTAGGATCAATTCAAGGACTACTCAAGATTCCAGGGCTCAGAAAAGACCACGATTTTAGTTCCCTTGTGAGTAATTTGTGCTCACGAGACATATATATATATAGTAACTGATGAGGTAATCGATATCGGTAATCGTAATCGATATCAATAATCGGTAATCGATCGTGGGTCAATTATTGTGGAAATGTGAGAAAGCAGATGGCATTAGTCCCTAATAATTGTCAGTTGTAATGCTTGCTTGAATAGATCGGAGTACAACATGCAGGTACCCGATGCCAAAAAGACGAATTCGCAAAAGTATATACGATCCGAAAATGGGATTTAGCTTTAATTGAGCTCTTTGATTGTCTGATCGGATTGTTTAATGTCGCAACAATTGTATATTTCGGTCGTAGAATTAATGGATAATTGATGGTCGTAAATTGTGGCTCCATTGTGGCTCAAGTGGGGTGTACAAGGTGGTTAGAGATCAAAAAAACCGCCCATGTGATTTCCAGAATCTAGACAAAATTTATGACAAAAAATTAATTGGAAGTAAGGGAATCAGCGCGGAAACCGATCAGAAAGTAATCGAGAAGAAAAATTTTCCAAAAACAAGTCCATTTTACACTGAAAAAAAGCAAAAATCCGACTTGCAACTTTCAGATTCAAATCCTGACTCAACCGTTCGCTTGAATCCTTTACTCCCAATTAGTTTTTGTCACAAATTTTGTCTAGATTCTGGAAATCACAATGTTTTTCTTGGATTTTGGACCCAGAAAAAGTTATGGGTCAAAAACCTCGAAAAATCCCGTTTTCCATACAAAATCGAGTTTCCAGCTCTCGAAAACGGTAAGGACTAGTCATAAACGGTTTTCAGTTTTAGAATCGAGATCATTAAATTACGCTATTGGACTTCTTCGCTGATCCAAGAAATATTCATTTTCTGAGGGGTGGAGCTATAATTATGTTGATCGGCCAAGACGATTTTTTGAAAATTTAGATGTTTTTCTTTATAAGCTTTGCTATGCAAAATCGGTGTTTATGATAATTTTAGTATCGAAATATCACACCTTTTCTATTTTGAAAGTTTTGATTAAATCTTTTCAAAAACTTAGTTTTTGAGAGATCCATAGGTGGAGCTATGATCATGCAGAGCAGTGTAGTATGTGTTACCCCTTATAAGTCAGCAGGCAGATTAAGTCGAAAATGTGTTAGATTAATTAAACTTTGTTATAATTATTTTATTTTTATAACATTTTTATAACGGGCTAAAAATTGAAATATAAGTGTAAAATGCTATAAAAATGCAATTATAACAAACTTTAAATAATCTGACACATTTGCGACTTAATCTGCCTTCATATAAGGCGTAACACATATTATGTAACACAACTTTCCTCTCGTTTTCTTTCTGCCAAAAAAAAAGAGTTTCAACACCGCTTTTCCTAAACTTCTCATTGAAAGGTGAGCACTTTTGAAACGAGTCGAATATGGGCGAACATTGGAACAGGAAAGGAGGAAGAGTTGCGCGGGTGAAGAGGGGGAAAAGAGAAAAGTGGGGGGGGAAGGGGGGAAGGAAAAGAGGAAAGGGGGGAAGCAAAAGAGGAAAGGGGAAGAGGGGATCCGAAGAGAGAATCGGCCCGAATCCCCGTCTTTTGCCCTTTTCCCTTTTGCTGAGTGTGTCGCCCGAGTATTGATTCGGCACACTCACCCGAGTCAAACCTCATCCCCAGGATTGCTGTTTTTTAGTCGGCTTAAATGGATTTTGACCAATTTTTGGATGAATATCTAGTCTTTTTGTGATTACTTTAAGTTTTTTTGCCTTGAAATTTACATTGAAGTTAAGTTCATTTCCCTAATTGATTGCTACAATTGTACAATTGCCATTTAGGTTCAAATTTACCTAGAATTGGCTTCTGTTTCCAATTGCTTACTCCAATTTTGTTAGGCTTTGCCAAAAGGCAAACTTATCATTAATGATTTTTGCTTCTTCTTGTTTCTTTTTCATTTACTGTTCTGTTTCTGAAAGTGTTTCACTTTCAGTGTTTCGTTTATCACTTTTACCACTGATTGTAGGCTAACCAATGCTCAAAAGTTTCCACGGTAGACATTGAAATCTGGCTTGTAACCTGGCTTTGTTGTTTTTTGCTAGCTTTCTCAATCATCCATTTCCAGTTTCAATGAGACCGATCATCAATTCGCTCAACTATTTGGCAAGTTTTTGAGAAACAACCCGACAAAGTCGTCTGCACTCTCTGCCAGGCGAATTTCAAGAGAAGCAAATATGGAACAACGAGCAATTTGAGGCGACACATTCGAGCTAATCATAAAGAATACGCAGAAGGATTGAATCTAAGCATTGATGCTTATGGAATACTAGGAAATGATCCGAAACGATCGAAACGGGACAAGGAAACGATTCCAACGTTGAGTCTATCTACGATTGATCCGATGCTGGTGTTGAAGAACGAGATTGATGAGTCGACTTTGAACGATTTCTTCAATGAACCTGCAAATTTGTCGACGATTGAGAGCTTGTTGTGTGAGTTTGAAATCAAGCTTACATTCGCAAATCTAAGGCTTTTGAAAAAACCTAAAGCTAAAGCCAAGGCATTGAATTTAAAATAGAGCTAATACATAATATTTCATGGACTACAGAATTTCTATCTCCTACAATCACACATTTCAGTTGCAACTTCTCGTCCACTCGACGATCTGGAGCCTCCGACCGCTAGTGACACTCCGACAAGTTCCGTTCAACAACCAATCGAGCATTTGGAAGAAGATCTGGTTAGTGATTGATAAAAGTAGGGCTCTAAGCAATAAGGATAGCACAGCATCGACGTTAACTTGACTGTCTCATTGACTTGCGACCCCTTTCCGAGAAAATCCTGGGCTGGCTCTTTAAAGCGTGATAAAACTACCGTATCCCTCCTAATTTGCAGGTATAAAACAAAGGACGCAATTTTATTCTTTTTGCTTATTGCTGCACCTCACACTGCCCATTCTGATTCTGCCTTCCAGTAATTATTCTGAAACAGCCATGATTTTTTAACTAAACTGAGTCAGCAACCTCTAGGTATGTAAGGAAAGATCTTTCTCTATTTTCTGCAAGGAATTAGGCAAGTTTCATTTTTTTTTCATTAAAGTTCGAAGCATTTTCGGGCAAAAATTAAAGATATAGATGTCAGTTTGTGGAACTAATTTTGTAAGACGATTAAAATTGCGCTCTCATGTGTGGATGCCATTTGCAAAGAAGTTTCTTCGTTCTGAATGTACCGATTCCTTCTGCAAACTCCTTCCACAAAGTTGTGTCATCACCACTCATAAAGAATACGAAGAAATACGGAATAAGCAAAAAAAATAAAGAACAAGAATGCAAGAATGAAAGGACGAAATTGCGCGCTTTCCTTTATACCTGCAAGTTAGGAGGGGTACGGTAGTTTTGCCACGCTTTAAAGCGCCAACCAAGGATTTTCTCGGGAAAAGTTTGCAATTGTCTCATTGACTTCAAGGCATCCTGTAAAGATTGAGTCAAGATCAGGATTAAGTATAGGACAGGCTTACCTACTTTTTATCGACTTTAAAGTATAATCGTGTTTGGAATGTATAAGCTACAAACGCTAAGCTTTCAGAGAGGAAAAGAAATGGAAAACCTTCATGCCGAGTTGCGAAAAATGATCCAAGAGTTGATGGTGAGCCGAGAAGAAAATCGAAAGCTTCGAGGGGAATTGAATCAAGTAAGTGAAATGAGAATGAAAGTGAATATAACTTCAAGGAAAAGAATGAATACCATTGTCTAAGCAGTTATACCCGACTTAAAAAAAAACCCTTCATTTTAGGTGAATCGACTTTATCTGAAGAAATCGATCGAGACGGATTTGGCTAGAGAAGAGGTTGGTTGTTGTTGATCAAAACTAAAAATAACCTTACTTAAGCATTTCTTAGAAATTTATCTAAATTAATATTAAACCTGAAAACTTGTTTAGTGATATGTATATAAACAATACAATTTCTATTTTCATTTCCAGATTTCCCGACTCAAAGGAGAATCGTTTGACGACGAGAATGTGACTTACCTGGATTGAAAATCAAAAATTGTACAATAAATGGAACTTTTGAAGCAGATTTAATTTTATATACATAGTTTCTAATTTAATCAGTGCTTTTTCATTTATTTTGTCATTTTCCATTCATTCCATTTCCATTCATTTTCTCGTTTTACGGGTTTAGTGTTTTGCTCGATTGTAGTTCTTGCATTGTATGTACTTTATAATACTTTTACGGAACCTTGTTTAGTAACGTAAAAGTGTTAAACGGAAAGCCTGTGTTTGCTAAGAAGCTAAGAAGTTAAGGAAAGAAAACACGCCAAATTGAAAATTTCCCGTAAAAATAAGCTGCAAAGGAATTTTGAAACTTTTTGCCTATTTAGTTTATCAAACATAATTTATTATCATATCAGCAACCAAAAATGAAACTGAACCAAATTTGTACAGCCAAAACGATGAGATCGATTTCTATTTCTTGTTGAAGCAATCGCGTTCCTTCTCAAGCATTGAGAGTTCGAGAGTTTGCACGTTGTACGGCTAAAATTTGGTAATAAAATTTGGAAAGCAAGTTTGGAAAACATAAAATGCTCAACATATAGTAAAGAATTAAAGAATCAATCTTAGGAAAACTCACATTGGTGGCCCTTGGTCCAGCGGAAATGTACGTGTAGGGGACGGGGAACGAGTGTTTGTAGTAGCAGAGAGGGATCTGCAAAGTTGGATCAATTTGGATTCCTTATTTTTCTTGAAGCACTCACCGTTTTGTCACATCTGTGATAGATGTTCATCTTTACATTGAGCCGTGTCCTCTCATTTCCCATTCCCTCCAAATCGAACGTTCCATCGGCATTCGAGCGACCCTCCGCCAATTTGTCATCAAGAGTGACTAAATGGGTGAGTAAATATTTGATAACTTTTCAAATTGATCGAAGTTTTCATTTCGAATTTCACAGGATCTATTTATTGTATTTTGCTGACTCGAGTTAGCAAAAAGGCTAATCTTGCAAAGTTTTGGCTAAAGTTTGAACCAATTTAGGCTCAGATTTTCTAGGTTAACTACCTAGAACTATCTAGGTTTTAACTGCCTAGATTTTCATAGAGTCCTAACATGAAATGCTGCTTTATGTGAAATGCTTTAGTTTTATACAAAACAATACCAAATTCTGTAGCAAAACCAATACTTTCCAAAAAACTCACAAGTGTCATGATCGTACAACTTGATTTTTGCTCCTCCATACGGTTGTCCCTTGCAAGTCAGCTTTCCGTAGACTCTCACAGTCTGATATCCGGCTGTGACAATGGAAATGAGAATGACGAATAGGAATACGTGAAGTGATCGAAGCATTTTGTATCTGAAATTTGAATTTATTACCAAAATTAGTGACAAGGCAAGAATTGAGAAGATAGATAAGTAGATGGAAGTGAGGAAAAAAACCAATGATAAGATAACGATCAAAGAAATGTGGCTAAAATGGACATATCAAGTATAAAACACTAGAGAGGCAAGAAAATGTTCAGTTGAGGCAATCTCGGTGCTTCTCCAAGAGAGACAACTCGATCGTTTGTGCGTTGAACATCTGAAATCAACGAGAAATCAATGGGAGATCAATGATGATGAAATGGGAACGGGTGAAATAAAGGATTTGCAATTTTGAATTTTGAATTTCAAATAGAAACGAGTTTTGAGTAAAAATTGGAACGGGGAACATTTTTAAGCGGTTTTGAATCGTCGCCTGTACTTGATAAAAGTTTTGAAGCTAAAACTTAGTTGACGTTCTTAACTTGAATCCAGCTATTGACCACATTACATTCTACTCATAAAGTTAAAGTGTAAAAACGGGAAAAGCTATTTTTAGCGGTTGTGAGTCATTACTTGCACTTGAAAAAGATTTGAAGCATAAACTAGAGCTGACTTCCCTAAACTCAAACTAGAGCTGACCCAAAGTCAACAATAGATTTTGGCCCCAATATCCGATTACTTTTAAAGCGTAATTCTGTTTTTGTAGCTTAAACTAACGATTCTTTTAAATCTAAAGCAAATCAGAAAATCCTGAGCAAGTCAGCCTAAAATTCACAAACCTTTTGCGGATAGGTGCCCGAGCTTACGTAGCTCTGAGGGACGGCCCACGAGTATTTGTAGTAGCAAACAGGGAGCTAAACGAAAAAATAGATTAATAGAAGATCTAATTGAAGATATTTGGCTATAGTACTTAAAGTGTATTCAAATTTTCGACTCCTACCGTCTTTCCACATCTGTGGTACACGTTGAATTTGACGTTGAGACGGCTCACTTCGCTGCCGGTTCCGACGAGCTAAATTGTTTCGTATAATTGTTTATAAACATTGAAGAACTGTTTAGTTCAAAATTTAGATTAAAGAGCTAGATTTCGTTTAGGAATTTCTTTATCTAAATGTTTAATGAACTTATTAAACCAACCTTGAAATATCCAGTGTTATCAGTTTGCGTCTCGCCGAGCTTGTCGTCCATAGTCACTGAAAAACTATTTTGAAACAAGCTGATACTTGAGAAAATTGTTAACTAAAGTCTTTTTTAGATTTTGAATGTATTTACAGACTATTTTCTTTGAAAACTCACAAGTATCATGATCATAGAGCTTGATCTTAGCTCCCGAGTATGGCTTTCCATTGCAAGTGAGCTTCCCCTCGATTCCCACCGTTTGCTTGTTAGCGGCAATGAATGGAAGAGCTAGAAGAGCGAAGAAGGCCAATTGAGTGAACATTCTAGATAAATATTCAAGAAATAGAAGTATTCAGTGAAAGAATATATTTGGAGATCAGAGTAATTTGTACTGGAATGAGTGCTAGACTAAACTCGAAGCTATTATAAAGGAGAAAAGTGTTTGTGATGAGTCACTGAGAGAAAAGAGAAATTAGTTTATTCCCTTGTCAAAAACAAAAGTTTCATGAGAATCGGGTGACCTTGAGTTATTGTTAAATTTGAGGTGAGTCATTGGAAATTGGTTGGGTTTGAAAGAGAGAGATCAATGGAGGGAAAAAGTGGGGAGGATAAACGATGAGAGGGACATATGGTCAGTCGGAACAAAATAAAATAGAGAAGTGGACGAAAAATGAGAAAAAATGAGTGGGAGATAAATGGTGAGCCGATGAATCGAGAGGGTTTGTTGGAAGGTCGAAAAATGATTGTGAGGGCTGATTTCAGCCTCCGGGTGAATAAAGGCTTATGGGGATTTTGAAGTGCTTCTACAGTACTAGTTTCTATGGTACTATCGTACTTTAGTACTCCAGTTCTATCACACTCTTACAGTATGATAGAATTCGAGTTTTGCTAAAAAATAGTACCTTTACAGAGTACTACAGTAGGATAATACTTCTACTTCTTCTGTAAAAGTACTCCTATTTCTTCTACAGTACTGTAAAAGTGCTTTAGTACTATGTAGAAGTACTATTCTTTCTACAGTACTGTGAAAGTACTGTAGCTTTGCTATCGTAGCCAGATGCGTGTAAGAGGACAAAAGAACGGCTGTACCTTTTTGATTTTCTAGAAGAAAATGTGATCAGATAAAAGGTCAGCAAGAAACGCATAGCTACTGTATTGCATAAAGCTAGTTTTTACATACAAAACAAATGAGTTCTTGAAAGAAAGTCAAATAAGATCTCCAACTTACAACAAGATCAAATAATCGAATGGTCAAAACATCTAGATTAGCTCCTATCATGGAATAACAATCTTGATTCCCTCTGATTGAACAATGGAAGATGAATCGATTGAGAAAACGAAAGGGGATCAAAGGGTGACCATATGGCCGACGCAGAGATTGGAGATAAAGAGATCCCTCGGGTTGTTTTGACGGGATGAGGAGAGACAACCCGAGGCAAACAATTTCCTTCAATTAAAGTAAAGCTAGCAAATAAACAAGTGATTAGCTATTGAATGGGATTTAAGGGATTGACCTTTTCAATGTAGGTAAATATTATAAAAATTAAAACAAAATTTGAAGCAATTCTTGAAGAAAATAGTTCAACTTTCGATTAACTACTGGAACTTTGCCAGTCTCAGCCTAACCTCAGTTGGGGAATTGATCAAATATGTTATAAGTTCCCTTACTAGAAAGCCATTCAAGATATTAAAAACTGGGTTATTAGCCCTTAAACCAAAGTTTTGCCTAGCTATGAGCTATGAGCCACAGCTAAAATTTCAAAAACTGCTTTAAATTTTTACTTTTACAGCCACAAAGCGTACGATCTATTAAAAGCAACGAATTTTGAAAAATAAACCAAGATTGATACTGAAAACGAAAGTAAAGCTCGATTGTCAGCGAAAATTTCGTCCACTCCTCACTGTGTTTACATAAACATTGACAATGAGAGGGGGACACGATGGGTCTCTAACTTGTTAAAATAAAAACACATTTTCATCGCTTAGAAATTCTATTCTATAAATCAAAGATCTAAAATGACAAGAAATTACTTAACATAACAAATTTTGCACCTTTTTAAATTTTTATACACACTTCCCTGTCTGTTGTTTCCAAGGAGGGTCTTACTTTACAACTCGAACACTGGTACTTTATAACTACACAAATAGTAAGCTAAGAAATGTATTTACTTAGAAGAATGACGCTTTGAGCATCAACTTCTTTGAACTGATCTTGTTTTTTTTTATTGTTTGAACTGATCTTGTTTGTTTATTGTGCTCTCAAAAAAAAACCAACTGCGCTTGAAAACGAGTGAGAAATGACGGGAACTATGGGATTTTCTTGTGCCACAAAACAGAACAATTGAAAACAGCTGCCTAGTCAAATGAGTCTATTTGGGGAGAAATGTTTGTCCTTGTTGATATCTGATCACAAATTAGAGGCTAGACACAAATATGATTGAGTACATTTGGGCTATCAAATTGGCTATGAACCCATTTTACTAGTTGACTGATTAGAACGAGAATGGGATAACAAGGGTTTTGATCAAGTCAAGATTACACCAATTTTTTCATGGGTTCTTCTTGTGCCACAAATTTTCATTGGCCACATTGTTCATTTTCATGGTTTAATTTTGTA